CTTATCCATTAGGCCACTGGGTCATTACGTAGCTAGGAATGTAAAATAACCTTTATCAAAAATAAAGGACGGATGAAAACCGGTTAGATTACGTATATTTAGGCATCGAGGATCGCATTACACATTGTGAAGTATAGAAAGTGTAACCCACGGTACCATAGGTATTTCAGACATAGCCGCAATTGTCTGTAATGAAAGGCAACCCATGGATGTGCTAGTGTAATCTCGCGATACTGGCAGCGGTTGCCTTTGACAACGGCTTCGTTGTGTGATGCGTTTTTTTAATCGTGGGCGGTGCCTGTAGTTCAACTGACCAATCACATGTCAGCAAAAACAGGGCGGTATATACATGACGTCACGTCTACAGTAAAAAAAAATACAAGAAATCTCAAAGGTAAGCGCGTCGCACATGTTCTGTGGCCAAATGTACATTTTTTTAAACAAATACCTTAGTATTGTTATTTTTTAAAATATATTTTGAGTGTATAATATGCGTCTGTGAATTTCAGCTGGTTTTTGGGGGTGTTGGTTTACCGGACAGGCTCCGTGTGCGATGGGCCACATGGTGTTAGATAACCGGCTTGGCTTCGAGACAACGACCAGTTAGCTAGTGAACTGCTAGCTAGCTGATTTGCCGCCTGTTAGCGAGCGAACAGAAAGTTCACCTGAGAAAGGTAGCGAAAGCAGCCGTTGGTCCGACCGTTATTTGTTTAACGTTAACTGTCGTCATTCCACAGGGAGCGTCTATAACGTTATTGGAATCGATTGTCTTGCTCAACGGTCAGGAATGTCAGCTGCTAACGACATCGGAGATCGACTCACCCAGTTCAAAAACAAAGGGAAAGATGCCAACGTAAGCTCTTTCAGCATGAAGCCGGCGTTACAACATGAATTATGTAACAAAGCTAACCGCAGTATAATTGACCCTGTCCTATATTTATTCTATGGGTGACTATTTCTTCAGGAGCTACGGCGCAGGAGAGCGGAAGTCAACGTGGAGCTCCGGAAAGCAAAGAAAGATGATCAGATCCTGAAGAGGAGAAACGTCCAGAGCCTACTGGACGAGCCAACCTCTCCTCTCCAAGAGAAAGACCCCAACGCCCAGGTGGGTCAGCTCTACTGGGCCCTTAACACACCAGCTGCTTGATCTGGCTGGGAACAGTGAACAGGACGCTCCTAAAACAAATACAGCTGGTTTCCATGTGTTTTACATGCCTGATACATTTGACTATATATCTTAGTTGACTGTAAGTGAGCTACAACATCCTCCATGCCTACACCTGGTCCAGTGAAATAGACATTTTTAGGCTGATATAAGTCCATGCAGTTTGTACCCAGTGGTCCATGAGAAACACAGAGCAAACTCAAGTGTTAACCTCATTATAACAGTGTGGCTTTACCACTGTATTTTATATAAAGTAATAATAAATACTTCCCAGTTGATTTAAGAAGAGTCACTGCCAATAATCATTTGTTGTCATGACGACTTTGAGTTTGCGTCATGTACCCTTTTTTCTTTTTCTTAAATTGATCTGCGTTGTCCTGATCCAGTAACCCCGAGTCTAAACAGATTCCTAGCATGTTCCAGTGAATGTTAAGGGTTATTTTTAAATGTTGTTTGACCCGGGTTAATCCTCTTTTGTTTCCATAGCCTCCTCAGCACTGGTCTGTGGAGGAGATTGTAGGTGGTGTTAACAGCCAGACTCTGGATCATCAGCTGCAGGCCACGCAGGCAGCCAGGTAAAATCATTTTGAAAATGTAATTAAGCTGTTCCCATGTTGTTACTGTGGCATTTTATGTTAACACGCAGTCTGGATGACATAAGACATGGCGGACATGATATCCCGCTGTATTGCCCTCCACCTAGTGGTTACTAATCACGTTTAACAATGCATTACCTTTGCTTGTAGTTTCTTACCTTTGATTAACGTCTCTGTGTTTTTCCCCTGCTGTACAGGAGGCTCCTCTCTAGAGAAAAGCACCCACCCATTGACAGCATTATTGCTGCCGGCCTCATCAAAAAGTTTGTTAGTTTTCTGGCATGGTCTGAATGCCCCCCCATCCAGTTTGAGGCAGCTTGGGCCCTGACAAACATCGCCTCAGGTACCTCAGACCAGACCACTGCCGTAGTGGAAGGAGGGGCTATTCCGGCCTTTATCAGCCTGGTGACATCACCCCACCCGCACATCAGCGAGCAGGCCATTTGGGCCCTGGGTAACATCGCAGGTACTGTACGCTGACAACGCCTAACGTCTCTTTATGTTTCAGTTCCTTGTTTAACTTCCTTTGCTTCATTACTATGTCCTGCACGGCCATATTGTTCAGCTTATTTGCCTCAATAGTTGTGATGTGAGGATGTGTTGTTGTAGTTGTGTAATTATGCTTCCTTTGTTTTGTCTGGAGGTGTTGTTGATCACAGGCTGTGAGGGCTTTTGAATTAATGTAAAAGGGTGTGTCCTAAAACTCCAACATGTGTAGTTGAGTACATTGAGTTCCTGGTCCAAAGGTTGTGCAAGACAATAGGGAACTCATGGTATATCAGTATCAGTGCAGATCATAGTGAAAAGCAGTCGAGGCATATTTAGCTAATTGAATAACATGCTGAAGGTCCTTTTCACTGAAGGGCTCGCTCTGAAATGCTCAACCAAATGATGCATTTTTCTTGGTAACTACCTACAGTAAGCAACTGTAGTTTTGATTTTGTAGCACTTTTTTTCTGTTCTGCGATTGCACTGCTGACAGTAGATGACATAAATGTATTTCCCCCCCCTCAAATGTAGGTGATGGATCCAACTACAGAGACCTAGTGATCAAACATGGTGGTCTCCAGCCACTCCTAGCCTTGCTGGCAGCTCCTGACCTGTCTGTGTTTCCTGTGAGTTTCCATTAAACATTGATTTTGTATTTTGATTTTGCTCATGCACCTTAGAAATGTTATTAAGTGATTTTAGACAGTACAGTTATTCAGCACATACAAATTCCACAATAGCTGTAAAATAACTAACATTTTTATTCAGCATTTATTTAAATTGCAGGTGCATATTAGTAAAGGTTTATTTATTCAAAGAGAGGGCTAATGTTGAAATTTGTTGAAAATCGATTCTCCTTTAGAGAGGTCTTTGAATAAACTTGAGTCTTGTCAGTATCATTGTATATGTTACTCTAACAACTATCATGTTATGATGTTCTGAAATAACTCTTGATTCTTAACCCGCCGTACCAGTCTGGCTACCTACGCAACGTCACCTGGACGCTGTCCAATTTGTGTCGGAACAAGAACCCAGCACCTCCTTTGACGGCAGTGGAGCAGCTGCTTCCAGCTCTAGTGCGCCTCCTGCACCACCATGACAGGGAGATTCTGGCTGACACCTGTTGGGCCGTGTCCTACCTGACAGATGGCTCCAATGAGAGGATAGAGGTGGTGGTGCAGGCCGGCCTGGTGCCCCGATTGGTACAGCTGCTAGGCTGTGAGGAGCTCCCCATTGTGGTATGTACTGTTGAGTTGGTTTACATCAAGTTGGTATTATTTGTGACTGTACTAGCAGTAGGGATGGGCGATATGGACTAAAACATGTATCCCGATAGTTTCTGGTATTTATCACGGTAACGATAAAAATGACGATAAATAAACACCAATTCAGCCTAATCTTTTTGACTATAAATCTATCACCAAAATAAAAAGGTTATAAAACTACCACAGTTAAGTTCAATAGTAGTTTAAACCTTGTACTGCAAAATGCTATGGAGTTTTACCACAAAACAAAACAAGTCTGGAAATTGTGGAAAGAATCTATTATTTTATTTTAAAAATGATTAAAATGGCACACAGGCAGTAAAAAAACAGTGCAAACAGCAAAAATAACTTAGCTTATTATCTGATTATCATACGGTGTGGAATGAGCAAATGCATCGGCAAGTTTCGTCTGAGTTGTTTGTTTCTTGCCGGAGGCTTTGGTTGAAGTCGACGCTGCTTCTGCATCCTTGCGC